ATTCTCCTACACACACACATAAACACACAAAATCTCATATGAAAAAAAAATCTGAACGATCCATGCACCAGACACTTCAAGGTCACAACGCCTTGACTTCACTGCACAACAAAAAAACTTCACCAAACAACAACCAATAAAAAAAGCAATTAATACGTCATAGTGGTGGGGGGAGGCCGAGAATCAGCTGTAAACAACTACTGATCTGATCTAACCGATCCTGTTGATTGTGGAATATATTTTTCTAGAAGCAGGATCAACTCAATCAGAATTGGTTGACCATGAAATTCAAGCTATGATAAAATGTTCTAACCTCTGTTTATATTGTACCTCAAATTTATTACTGACAAGGTTTCTTTCACCTTTTCGAGTTGTTCATCAAAACAGCGAGCAGGTGGTGAAGTCATATTCTGCTTAACAACTGTCAATTTTCCTATACATGCTATAATTCACTGTCATTCCCAATACCATTACTCTTGTTTTCACTTAGATTGGCCAGCACTCTTCGAAAATCCAAACGTCTCTCCAAATATCAACTTACTGAACTATAAGGGAAAAAGCTATTATTTCAACAACGAGTTTTTTGTAAGTATGTGTCTTATACTATTACGTGTTGTGATAAAAAAAATGAAAAACCTAGCTATTGGTTCGAAGAACTTCTGTTGGAAAATAGGTACCATGCAATTTATTAACTTTGTGATATCAGATATAAACTGAACAGAAATTGAAAGCAATTTGGGGATTGTAAGTGATACTTTTTATATGCAGATTAGTTATAATGAGTAACGGAGATTGCCTAGTATAGATCCCGGCGCATATAAATAAGAATATTCAATAGCAATATTAAAATATAACCCAACCTATACCAACCCCTAATATAACCTGTGATTACTAGTACTAATATTGAATTATTATCATATTGAGAATAATTTAAACAGTTTCTGTCCCTAACCTAAATTAGTGCGCCGGGACCTAAACTTGCCCATTGTCTAAGTAACGAGTTAAAGTATCCATAAAGTATCCATAAATTCGAGATAAAATTATGAGTTTCATATGCGATGGAAATTATGAAAAATCATAATGAGTAATCTTCATATCACTAGAAGTTATTGAGATACCGCATTCACACAATACATAAATTGAATTTTTTTTTAGGCAACGTTCCTAGAAGCCAACCAGTTTTGTCAAATGTTGGATATGGAGTTGGTATCTATACTATCTGAAGATGAAAATAATAGAATCTACAAATACATAAGAGATACCCGTAAGTACAGAGAGAAACATTTATGAAAATTTAGGGTATTGGAAACATTCAATCAAAACACCTTTCTTTTCATTTAATTACATAAAAAAAACGACAAAAGCAAGCCATGGATCTGGTCTACCCATATTCAAGATGCGATAACGTTAGTTATAAGACATTGACATATGTGGGTGAACCAAACAGGAATATTGCCTGTTTTTTGAAGAAAGAAGGCGTAAACGTAGCTTATAGAACGAATAATAATCTAAGTAAATTCATTAAAAACAATAAGGACAAAACTTTCGATAGATCAGGAGTATATAAGCTGACTTGTGGCTCTTGTCCAAAACTGTATATTGGCCAAACAGGTAGAACATTTTTCCAACGAATTAAAGAACATAGGAGTAGTTTTGTGAATAGAAAGACCAATTCCACATTTGCAAACCATCTTTTAGCAGAAGGACATGAGTTCAATCATGAGTACGATGTGTTACTTTTAGAAGAGAAGAGTTTGAAACTCAATCTCCTAGAATGTTTAGAAATCAATAGATTCAGGAATTCGGGTAATTTACTGAATGATCAATTAGAACTCAGTAACTCTCCGTTACTGAATATTTTTTCAAATGTGGAAAATGGAACATAAGTTCAGGTAATTTAATTCGTTAGAAACTCAGGTAAAATATCAGCTACTTAAAATTCAGGTACTTCGTTTACAGGTACTTTGACTTCAGGTACTCAATAAACTATTTATATAGTTAGTATCGAATGTGTAGGATTAGTTGAAAGACACGCCAGATGAAGCCATTGTATGGCGAAACACGTGTTGCGTTTTTGTAAAACGCAACACGTGTTTCTCACAATAAAGTGTTTTTGGAATACGTTAATTACATAAAGGATCCGTGATCTCAATACTCAACATTCATTGAATCATTCTGAAGAATAACTTGCCCATTTGGTAGAATTTTCCATATATTATTCAGTGTTATCTGCAAATACACTAGTTGTTTTGAAACAACTTCTTCATCAGAGTATTATGAAATTGTTAATATTTCTAAACAAAATTGAAGGAATTATTGAGCCGCGTGTTTGAGGTGAATACCAATTCAATATGCAACATATTAACATACAAACATTTTGAATGATCTGTTTAAAAGCTGTTTAACGGTAAAACTAGTGTATTTGCAAGTGACACACAATGTTAAAGATAACAGGGCTTATAAAACGGGTGAGTGTCAGTTCTGAAAGGTTTGTTGTGAAAGTATATATACACAATTGTAACAAACGGAGGAGAAATGACAATTGAATTCAGGCAGTTATATCTGACCTCAATTGCACTAACACTCCTACCAAATCTCTTATTTTCATCTATTTTGATTTACAGTTGTTGGTACATCTTTCTGGTCATCTGGAACGAAGTTAATAGATGACAAAAACTGGTATTGGCTTCCCACTGGAAAAAAAGTAGAATACACCAACTGGCTTCCTGGCTTTCCAGATAACAAAGAAGAAAAGTGCATACAGCTGATACAACAGAGAGATAAAGGTCTCATGTGGAATGACTTGGGTTGCACAGGCCAGCTGAATTTCATTTGTCAGTCACCAACTGAGAAGTACATCCGTGGAGGAAGTTGTCCAACATCTGGTGAGATTTTCATTCAGATTCTAAGTGAATATTTTGCATACAAAAGTATACTTATGCAAGCAGACCAAAATACTGAAAGAGTAACTCAAGATTTTCAATTTCTCTTACGTTTCATATTCCATTATTGATAGGTCATAAACTGATGGTAAAAAGACCGACAACCAGTATTTAGCAACATTTTGAAGCTGTATAATTTGCAATATAGGAGTCCAATTGGATTGCTTTTGGGTATAACCGTTGAAAGGATTTTCAATTCCAATAACCTCGAAGATTATCTAGGCCCGAAAGAGTTGTTTTGCTGACAATGGTTTTTGTGTTTTCGAATTTCACTCTATGGCTTGTTTCAAGACAGTGTGGAGAGGGATGAGGATAAATTAGGTTCATACAGATGAATCTGATGTTAAATAGATTTTGTTGTAGACTCTTCTGTTAGTCTACCCGAGATAAGCTCTGGAGGAGGTGGAACATCCTATTTCGTTTATTCCCCACTGACCTCATTGGATATATCATACTCCGATGTTCGTAGAAATGTAAAAATATTGATTCTTGGCTCTAAATGAATACTGTTTTTATGTTGAGTCTGTTTAAAATTCGAATTTCTTTCAGATGGTTGACATGTGAAATATAGGTTTCTTGAAATTGGATGTCTCTTTAGATTTGGGAATTAGTTTTGGTGATATTTGGATTCCAATTTGTCTGGATTTTTTGATCTATTGTGATTGTCAGTAACTTTGCTGACGACGATGGAATTTGACTTTTTTCTAACACAGATCTATCTGATTGATTGTCCTCGCTTGAGAGTAGGCAGAATAAGACCTTGCAGAGACAAGTGGAGAAACTTGGAAGTGATGCAGATTGAGACCTCGACGTAGCCATGCTTTCTAGTTCTTACGATTAATGATTGTATGATACATTGTATGTAGGATATGTAGATACGTAGGATGTAGGATGAGGATATTCAAAATATTGTCGAATACTTCAATTATGTCAAAATATGAGAGGGGTTTGAATATAATTTCGATTTTGTCTAACTGACTCAGTATGCCGATACTGGATTTTTTTTATCTTTCTGTGATTGTTAAATTTTTTACCTTTCAACCAATTGAATATCATATTGAAGTGTTACGTTATGTGAAAAAAAAAGAAATAATTGAAGACTGTTATCATGAAATATTTCGAAAAATTTGTCGATATTCATTTTACAGGAGACTGTCCCACCGCTCAACCTAGCACTGTACCTCCAACTCCGTCTCTAACTCCGTCACCAAAGCCTCAAGACATCTATCATCTCAGTAAAGACAGGGTCTGTTTGTGTTCCATGATCTCTAGAAACTTTGATTATTGTAACGTCTTCTTTCACAGCTCACATACTCGCAAGCAACAGAAGCCTGCCGAAATCAGTCCATGAAGCTTGTCAGTATTCAAACCAAGGAAAAAAACGACGCTATAAACAGTGTTTTGCAGAAAAGTGGTAAGTTGAGTATTTCACGTTGTACATAAACGTTCACATGTTCAACTGGATGAAAGAGAAACATCTGCGAAACTAACATAGTATCCTGAATAAATGACGGTTAGATATATAGCAGAATTCATATATAACGACTCCGCTTATAACGACTATCCGTTTACAGCGACGATAATGTTTACTTAAGTTCAGTTTCATATTCAGTTATTGAGGAAATTTACCGCTTAGTGCGACTCGGGTTTGAGCGACAACCGCTTATAACGACCGTTTATCATGATACTATATCCGGTTGAAACGTCGCGCAATGTTTTGATTACACAATCTGATAGGTGCTACTAACAGGTAGCATTTTCAGGAACCTCTCTCAATAGGTACTACTAACAGGTAGTATTAGGAACCTCTATTGATAGATACTACTAACAGATATTAATAGATTGATTTTACGCCAGAGGTTCCAGTATGAAGTCTTTGTCATTTGTAAGTCCATCGACAAAATGAATTCTGTGAAGCGAAAGTGTTTTGCAATTGAAGAAAAAAATGCAATATTACACCGATTAGCAGCCGGTGAATCAAATACAGCCCTTGCAAAAAAGTTTGGCGTATCCTATTCTACATCTACTACATTCCACAATTAAAAATAATGAAGATAATATCGACTCTCTGTTCAATGCCAATTTTTTGAAATGCAAACTTGTAAGGACTTCTTCTCATGAGCAGTTGGATAAGACATTCTTACAGTGGTTCAAGCTTCAGCGCGACTGAATAATATCCCTTAATGGACCTCCGCTACAAGAGCACATCCCCATATTACAGACTTGAAAAGCATAATGCTGGTGTTTTGCCTCCAAACACGGCATCAGTGTTGCAACCCATGGACCAAAGGATTATTCGAGCGTTCAAATCACATTTTCGTAAAAACGCCAACGATGCGAATATCAAAGATAATGACGGTGATGATGCCGCACCAGAGGAGATTTATCCAACCTATAGTGTGTCCGCAGCCTCCGAAGGCTGCGGAAACGCTCAATATGTTTGTTCAGACTAACTTGAACGATAATGTTATGAAAACAATGATGTTGCGAATTTATAATGATGTACAAAATTCTCACTACCGAATAGAAGTTTGTCAAAAACAAACTCAATTAACAAACTTTGTACATGAGTTTGTACATTAGGATATTCAAGTGCTATTAAAATGTGATTTCTATAAAATATTTTATTCACCTATCGATCAGAAATCTGAACAGCTAAATCAAAGACTAATGAACTAATATACACCTTACTACCACAAAATTAATCCGTTTTGTGCGTCGTCCGGTTAGTAGGACATAGTATATCCGGTCCCTTGAAGGTCGTTATATCCAGATTCTACTGTAGTTCAATCTCCAGGAAGTAGCAGTTTTTCAGAAGGAATTCGCGAGAACTTACGATTTAGGTACTTCATGGGAGAAGAAAGGTCATATATTGTTACGTAGTCAGGGCTACTTTGAATGCCCAGGCCCAGTAAAGAACGGTGTTAGTTTTTTGTACAACTTTACTAGTTTCTGATTTTCAATGTGTCAAGCAAGTAAAAATATGGATGTTAAATATTTGTATGGCTGGACGCCAGCTTCTTTTTTATTTTATGATGGAAAAAAATACAAAATACCATTATGAAGATAGAAATGAAAACTTCCTTCTGTGATCAGGTGAGCAAGAAAATCATATATTCATAAAAATAAATACATATATTTACAAAAAAAATACAAAGATTGACCCTGTTAGTATGATGGTTTTACATGAGAATGGTTATGAAACACGATTCTAGGGATATACATGTTTTGCACTCCACTGAATATAATTATGATAACAGGTGATGTAAATGTAAAATGGTTTCACATGAATATTCATTCATAGATACATTGAATAATATTCACAACAAATACTCTTAGTTATACTACTCTTGTATTGATGCATCAATAGTTTATATAAAAAAATTAACCTTGAATTCAGGAGTCAACATGTATAAGGAATAAAAAAATCTTATACAAAAAAAACTAACCTTGAAATCACCACTGAATATGTCTTAGGAAACAAAACAATTTTTGTACCAAAAAATGACCACTAAGAAATTCACTGAATCATTTGAATTAGGAAACCGGATTATAACCTTAATTCACTTAATGTCTGTAACCAATCTACAAAGATATATATGTTATATTCACCTCTTTTGAATATGACTTTTTAAAAAAACACTTTATTTTCAATTACAGACTTTCTTTGAATAACAACAAAAATATCGTTACAAAACTACAATGAAAAATGAAACAGAATCTAAGGTGATACTGAACGAATTCTAAATTAGTTCTGACTATGATTTGACCTCGCAGGGTCCATTTATAATGTGTAAACAGCGGTGTCAGCAGGAGACGACGGGAATAACAAAAGTATCACGTTCTGCTGACTCTGCTGACTCAAAGTCTTGGAAGTCGTTATCTTGGTAATCTGATTCCGGTGAGATCGTCCTACTCACGATATAACATATATAATGAGGAAAGATTGGTTATATCATGATAGCTGTCAAATAAATTCTATGAACCGGAGATTTGTTCAACCAAGAGCCAGAGGTCCCTTGCTTGAATCTGAATTCAGCGGCAGAGTGGAACTTACCGAACGATGAAGCAAAAATTTGGATTATGACTTACATTTTTTTTTATTTCCACTCACTGTGATCAGCAATCGGATAGAAATCCCAGGACTTTCCGTCAAAATCGCCAGTAACCCCTCACACTAATTTCAGGTATCTTTCACACCTGGAACGAGGGACACATTTTCTCAGCAGAAAATCTCAGGGATGCGACGAAACCCCAATTCATCAACGAATGGAACATAGATAGTTTGGGCTTGAATTCACAGTGATCACCATGAAATATTCAGATTTTTCAGAATCAGCGTCATTACTTTCACATCCAAAAAAAAACAAAAAGAACCCCGATATCGAGCTCTACCTTCTCAACTCTACGAGAGACTCGTTCCTTCTTTATATATTCCTCCTTCATCTTCTCTCGTTACCTTTCTTCACGTTACTAGTGAACCAAAGATGGCTCATGATAGGAGGAACACTTGCCAACATCGGTTACATGGAATTGATAGATGTCACATTTTATCGTGTCATGAATACAATGAAATGACAGTAACGAATATATCGTTACAATATTCGATAGGAGTTTTTGATAGACTATTAAGAAGTTGAAAATAACAAAATCCCAATTATTGCATGAGATAGGTTCGTGGGTAGGTCCAAGATGCAACCTGCCACAAGGTTGAGTGTAGCTCAAATTAAACGTTGTTAAGGATTAAATCCTGTAGAAGAGTAGAAAATCTTCGAAGTATTGGAGACAGGAAGTGTTTGATCCCCCAAAATCTCATCTGTTTTACTATATTCTAGATCGAATCAATTTCTGCCTATTGAAAATTGAGCAGTTCTCTCACAGAAAATTTTGAATTGCATATGTCACGAAACAGTGTATCATCAAATGTCAGAAAGCAACTCGAAGTGAGATGTGTTGCCCTGGTTGGTACAACTTCATTGATATGAGTTAGATCGTCTGGTAATCTCCACATCTTGATGGGGAGTTTTGAAATATACAGTTCACCTCTAATTCAATTTTAATCCTCCTGCCAAAGTGATCGTTGGCAATTCTGATTGCGTTTCGATAAGTAGCTTTTATCATCAACTTACTTTTTTCAACTATGGACCTACAGTTTGTTTCAACGATTTCTGTAGCCACTGTGATAGAAAACTCAGCTATATATTGGAATACATGTTCTCGATGTTCAATCAAGTAACAATCGGAAGAAAGAGTGATGTCAAAATACTCCTAACCATCTACGTTGTTCACAATATCTTATTGAATGGTCAAAGTGCCATCTAACGTTCCTTAAACACATATCCGTTCTTACAATAGTACCTTCATGACAATTTTCAAGCATTTTTGGAGTTATTGCCATGCAAACCCTCCTTATAGTTCCTTTCGATACGTTAATATTGTCGAAAGTTGAGCCGTATATACCTTGTCTCCAATAGATAACGTCGAGAAACGCATGTATTGTAACACATGGCTGAATTTTTCATTGAAATGGCTACAACAATCGATGAAAAAACTACAGGTCTTATACAGGGCTATTCAAATTCGTTTCTGTACATGGGGAGATCGTAAACGATAAGAGAGTGTCGGTTAAATTATGGCAAAGTTGCATATTTTAGAGACCTATTCAATGATTTGGAAAAATCGATCATAGCTCTTTTGGTTCTGGAGATATACAGGAAAAACAAAAAATCCCAAATTTTCTTTTGTCTTCAACTTCTTTATTCGCAGAAATATTGAAAATATGTCCATATTTTGCTATTGGCACTCGATGTGGGCTATCATAATATGTCCATGAATCTCTTATGCAGGGTGTCATCTGACTTGGACTCGGTTTTTCATATTATTTATTGCCCTTAATACAATTATTTGCTGCATTGTTGCGAAATCATTCAAAATCCTCCATCTCGAGTCTTCCACATTTTCTATCTCTCTGCCAGCGTATATACTATTTTTCAATGTGCCTCATAGAAAATAATCCAAAATATTAAGATCTGGTGATCCTACTATCTTATTGGTCCATTATTTGTCTCGAAATGGAAGGACTCCAATTCGAACATTTATTGCGCCATTAATTTTTTTGTGTATATAAATTATTTCATTTCAATTTTTACTACAATTATAGTGTTCGTTTCAGATGTTATTATTGCTATCATTTCCTTTTCTCCTCATCAGAATACATATAATATATTTTTTTGTAGATATGTTTCATATAATCATAAAAGGTTTTCTCATTCGAAGTTCATTGTAAAAATTCTTAGAGCAATGGAAATATGAAAAAATATGAATAGGTACCTAAAAATGAAAAAAACTCTCTAAAAACTTCACGGTACATAGAAAGACGTGAAAGTTGCTATTGTGTTTTTATTCAACTCAGTCAACCAATTTCCAGGGCCGTAATTTAAAAGGGAATAATCCACCCTATTATAATCAAATATTACCGAAACGTCTCGAAATATAAAATAAAATTTCTGAGTATGAAGTGAACGTCTACGATCCATAAACTACGACAAAAATACAGGTCAGTATTAAAAAATTCAAACATGGGGGTGGTCCAAGTCAGATGACACCCTGTATAAAAGATTCATGGACATATTCTGATAGCCCACAACGAGTGCCAATAGCGACTTGTGGACAGATTTTCAATATGTCAGCGAATAAAGAAGATATAGGCAAAAACATAATTTGTGACTTTTTGATTTTTCCTGTATATCTTCAGAACCAAAATAGCTATATTCGATTTTTTCACATCATTGAATAGTTCCCTAAAATACACAACTTTGCCACAATTTCACCGACAGTCTGTCTCACATCGTTTACGAGATTCCCATGTACAAAAACGAATTTGAATAGCCCTGTGTAATATTTTTGTTTTCATTCAAAAAATCAGTTATTATAACGAATCACATGTTCGTTTCCTCAACAGGAGCGAACGAATACTATTGGACATCTGGAAATCGAATAGCTGATGAGAAAACTTGGATATGGCCACCTAGTGAGAAAATAACCTACTTCAACTGGGACCAAGGAGAACCCAACAACTTGAGAACCCACGAGAATTGTCTGGAAGTGTTCAAGTCCGGCACTGACACTAAATGGAACGATGACCCGTGCGATCAGAAAAACTTATATATTTGCGAAAGTCCTGCTCAGGTTCCCGTCACAGGAAGTTGTAGCCAGTGTTGCCCATCATCAGTTATCAATGTTTACGTCAACAACAATTTGATATCTACCAATGTGACAGACACGAAGAGGATCTCTACAACGTCTAGCAACAAACCCGGCCAGTCTTATGACGTTGAAGTTAACAACAACGTGAACGATGGCGGGCAAAGTGGAAGTAATACGAAATCACCTCCCAGTAATCGAATACATCATCATGTCAGCGAGAAGAAACATCCTGCGAAGCATCCTAAGTCCATTTGAATTATTTGAAATCATTACTCAATTCAACTTATATAATATGGATGAAGCATGTAAATTATTTGATTTCAATCTTCCATCTAATGCCAGTTGGAAAAAAACGATTCAGACATATATTTATGAATAAAACTCGTTATGTTTTTGGTAACTTCATATTATCTCATCAACTGAATGCACTGTAAGCTGCAGAAACAGCATTCTATTTCTGTATCTAACACATATTTGCATCTTTTTGAAGCTGACCCGAGATTCTTTATATATAGAAATAAATTTCAGCTACTTCGGGTAGAAATGTTTTTTTCTTTGGTTTTGTGAGTTCAGCAGTCAAATAATGTGCAAAAACTTCCGAGTACTCTTTGATAATTCCATTCCCATATTGATTTCAATTTAAGAGCCACCGGTAGACAGCTGTTTCAGTCTATTTGGCATCGTCAGTACCGAGCAGGTACTGGAATTATTTTCCAGCAGCTTGACTGCATTAACCTTTCTAGATTTCATATCATTTCTAGAAACATGTGGATTCGTTTTCCGATGGCATTTCAGGTTAGCTTCTCAAATTTCTGCTACCGCAGTTGTCGGTTGATTGGTCAAACCACCAACACTGACATAAAAACTTGGCAAGTTGACTTGGGTGTCACACCAATAGGTGGTTCCACTTATGTTCGCTTGCGTTTACGCAGCTATTTTTATCAAGTACTTTCTTGCTTTTTTCTCATTTTGTCTTGAATCGAGGACCGCCTGCCCGACATTGATGATGCCCAATAGGCTGAAAAAGCTGTCTACGGGTGGCTCTTAAATTGAAATCAATATGAGAATTATCAAAGAGTACTTACTTATCTATTCATTTTTTGATTTTCATGGAATTATTTTCCATGCTTTAAACTTCTTTAGGCAACGAAAGAGACGCCACGCTAAATGTTTCTCTCCGTAAAAATTTGAATTATATAGTATATGAATTAAGAATCAAACAGAATAGTAGTGAATACTGATTAGTATTAATAAACTCAGTGAAAAAACCTACCTGTCCAGTCAAGTCGAGTAAGAAATCCATGAGTTCCAGCTTCACAGAAATATCATACCACACACACACCAGCGTTCGAGGAAAGTAAGGAATTTACTTAAACCATTTATGAACAATATATGCATATATTAATGAAAAGACCTACGAACTGAATAAGAATAAAAAGTACTTGAAATCAAAACCAGAAATTGGACTCTGCCGAATTACAGTGACCTGCAATTCATAAACTGACAATTACCACATTTGTTCGGTGTTTCTATGTTGAATAGTTCGTTATTCGGTGTAGATTGAGGACTTTCTTAGAATTAAGGAATTTTCTTTTTTTGGCTATTTATGAATTTATATATTTCTGAATCGAACATATTTTTACTTTTACAATTAAAACTGTTCTATATTTCCTAAGAACAATTGTGTCTTTTTCCAAATTTTTCCGCAGGTAAAATCTACTAGAAAAATCAAAGTTTGGTAAGTAATTGTTGTGTTTTTGCCTGCTGAGGTATAGGATTTAAACTTAACGCAAAGGTCTAGCCGATTAAAATTTTTCATGGAAAAATAATAACAATAATAATAGAAATATAAAAAAAATTATATTTTACGAAACTTTCTATGTTTTTCACCACTTCCATTTGCAACTAATGTTACTGCTGTTTCATCCTATACGGACATTTTCAAACTTATACAATAAACTCTAAGTCTAAATGAGTTTATTATATACATGTATACATATTTTCAGGTGAAATTTTGACATTGTTTCTCGGAAAAACAAGAAATCAGTTTATGTATTCCTGTAAAAAATTTCATGAAGTAAAGATAGGGGTTATCTATCTTATTTATTGTCTATAGTGTTTTCATATTGTCTGTGTTCCGAAAAACCCATCTTTTTTCACCCTCAAAGCTTCACATTCCTGGAATCCTTGAAAGTTGAGTCCACCACTAGTTCGACTTTTCCCGAGACACCGGAATTTTTGGTTTATTAGACCTTCCGGTTCACATCGAGCCGCGCACGGAAAGTCTTGTGTGAAGTGGTTCATTACCGGGAGATAGAAAGGAAAGAGAATTTATAGCTCAGTGATTTATCAGCCCGAATTGCAGATGAGACACTTTAGTGCCAGTAACCGTTACCTGAATCGCCGTGGTTTTACAGCCAAGGACTTCGATTCTTTATCTTTCTGGCGTTCATCCAGTCCAGTGATGTTTCCAGAGGCGTAACAAAAGAATTGGATTGAATATCAAGAGTCATGAATTCAGCTCGAGGACTTCTTCATCAAATTCTCATTATTTCGTAAATATAAACTTCCATAATCCAAAAATTAAAGTAGCGCAGAGAGATAAATTTAAATCGAGAGGGTATACTTTTAGGAGAGATTAATTTTTGATGACAGTGTTCCATGTAAGTGAAATCTTAATTTTTTTCATTGATTTTATTATGTGGGAATCCTGTGAATGACATCTGATTCGATTTCATTATGAATGTTTGGCATACCAACGAAATAAAAACCATTTTTTCGTATAATTTAGCGTTCATGTAGAAGTATTTGTTTCAAAAGCATTTTTCTTTCATGTAATTCAATATTTATATGATGATTGCTGTTTCGGTAGGGCCAGTTTTTGTCTGAAAGTTACTTCTTTGCATGATCTACACATCTTTGTATTTTGTTAATTTTTGAAATTGAATATTTCCATGCATGATGAAGAAGTATCAAGCATAAACCTTTCTTTCGCAAAGAATATAATAAATATTTCGAATTCAATCAGGAATCTTCAACTTCTTCAGCTAATCACACGATGGACATTAGTTATATCGAACAGAGAAATTCATGAGATTTCTCACAATCTCACATTATCCAGGGACGCAAGTACATCCTTCTGTATAGGGGTATTGAAAAAGATGAATGTTTTCAATTCATTCTGCAAACCAAAAGCAGAATTTTTTGTGAGAATATTTTCCCACATGTCTATTGGACACAATTCAATGTCAACTATGGTAATAGCCAGGGAAGTTGTTGTTTTCCGGGCAGCATTTGCCACGTTTCACTCTGTAGAATTGGATAGACAGATGAATAGATGAGTTTCATTGTCAGAAATGGTAAGATCTGCTGAAAAATTCAATAATATACATGAATAGCATACAAGTAAAAATTATCAAAGAAAAAATTGATGAAAGACAAGAAATTGAAAAACTAAATGAAATTATCAGCTACAAATCGAAAAAACATTTATACAACACTGGCTTCAAATAAAAATGCCAATTGAGAAATATCATTGAGCGGGAGCGGCAAATTTTCAGAATTTAATTCAAAATATTCATTTCAGTTCGATATTCCAGATTTTTTGATGGAATTTTTCCCAACTCATTTCCCATCTATGAGGTTGAAAATATCTGTAGTTTATAATATAATTTATCGCTGTTCCTATTTACGGATATCAGTGAAACAAAAAGTAAAATCAGACCATCAAAAACTCATCTCATATGACTATATTTTCATACTCTACATTGAAAAATACCTTCTATTATTTGTTTAATCGATTTCTTCCCGATTTCAAATGGAGAATATTTAATTGAAAGGCACAAAAAAGAGATATCTTTTTAATTGTTGATAGCTGAAAGTCTGCAAATTATAAAAGAAGCGTTTTGGTCAAATTCGTCAGGTGTCTAAATATTTTCCCAGTCAAAACCGAAACCCAGTTGATGGAATATGTTTAGGTGTGGAAGACGTTGAACGAACATTGAAAAACAATTATATGAAAATTTATGAAATCTACATCAGAGAAGGAGAAGAAATAAACTCGCTTATTTAGTAATACTTCATTGTGAGGTTTTCACTGAACAGTTGAAAAAACCACTGAAACTATTGTATATTGATAAACGTTGCAGGGTTCTAAAAACTTTTCAGTGAAAATGTCACATACTGACTTCAATTCTTTCAATTTTACTTTCAATTCTTTGTTAAACTATACAAATTAATATTGCTGAACCGTTATAACAGTTTGGTGTTGAGATAAAACTCTAGTTATATTCATTATTATTCCAAACAGTGCATCAAAAGTAAGCTATACAAAGTTAAGATGACGATATTTATATATGTACACTAACAAAGAAATTGTTCAGGGATAGAACGATTTCTTTGTTACTGATATCATCAGTGATATAGCAGCACCAATATCACTGATGATTAAAATACATAATGAATTGATGGATGTTCTGTTTGGGGAACATACCGCGCGCTCCGCCTATAGTACGTTCGTCATAATCAAACAACCGAGAGGACCATTCGTAAGGTGGTGGATTAATTTCAGTCATTGGTTCAGTAAACAATCGACAAACACTCGTACGTCGACGAAACGCAGGATCTGCCGAAAACATCACCGCTGTCTATGTGCAGGAGAATCCGAGGGTGTCGCTCACAACTTGGCCTTTTGCAGATCACAACTTTGAAAATTTTTCATCGGCCTGCACTTGTACAGAATGCAAGTGCCCAGGAGCTGGTGGTGAACGGCCGTTGACAATGACATGTGTTTGCTGAATGGGCTCCGAAACAGTTGGCAACTGACCCTGATTTTCATCGAATGAATGAATGAATGGGTACTGAATAATGGAAATTGTCATATTTGGGACGATACTCATCCACATGAAATCCTATAGCGTCAATAGCATCCCGAAAAAGTCGTTGTTTGGTGTGGATTTTGAGCTGACGGCATCATTGGTCCATATTTCTTTGAGAAAATCATGCCAGGCTATCGCTGCTAACGGCAAGCACTGAACGTCTTTGAATACCAACTTCTTCTGATCTGAATTGAATGATCTGGACTCCAACGATATTTGGTTTCAACAGGACGGCGCTACGTGCCACACAGCTCACGCTACAATGGATATTCTCTATGAGCGATTTGAGGGCGGTGGTGGAAGTGGCGGGAACTGGCCATCGAGATCTTACGATACGACCATGTTAGACTCTTTCTTGTGTAGTTTTTTGAAGTCGCAAGTGTATGCAAAAGAGCTACAAACTACGGCGGTCTCCACAACCAACATACTCCATAGTATCGGTCAAATTAATCCTGATTTATGCGCCAGAGTAGTGAAAAATGGCACGTTTCCGTTGCGCTTCACCCAGAGAAGCCATGGCGGA